AATATTTTAGAGTCAAGCAAAACCTTACCTCATATAAAACAATTATAGCTAATCAAATCTAGCTAAATATCTTATCTAGGGGTGGGGGATAAGCCTCTATAGTAAATGGATATTAGGTGATAAATATCAAAGCCCTTATATCTGTAATAGATTTTAAGAAATAGGCATATTAAATAATTTTGAGATCTAAATTTTATATTAATTACATGAATATTAAACTTTTTATATTTATAACTATTTATTTGGAAAGTGTAGCGACCTAGTATAGTAGTCTAGACATGGTCACCCTCTCCAAGTAGCAGGTCTAAAGTTTGAATCCCATGAATGATAATTTTGAAAATTAGATCTATATTACAATTAACAGTTGTTAATTATCAGTTGGATCTAGAAATCTGCAATCTCGGTCACACCATCTAGTAATGAGAGCTTCAACGCAATAAATCCAAGGAACTGAAATAACTGAAAACCCATTTGGCAAGTCCCGAGTTGGAATGTAGCAATAATCTTTGATAGTACTACAGGAGAGCTGAATTTGAACTGGGGCCTGAGATCGGAGAACCAAGTAACTAGGTTCTAAAATGGTGAAGAACACACTAGCCGAACTGCTAAGTTGTCACACTGGAGGAAAAGGATATATACTCCAAAAGTATGGACCAAGAGGAGGGCGTCTTTCAGGCATCTAAAGCCTGGGCAGACCAACCTATCTGGGTTGCTAGCTGGAAGTAAGAGGGGATCGATAAAGAATCTGAGTAAGAAGATGGTTCCAAATGTGGATATTGAGGTTGTTGGGAACCTTACAAGAGCAGGGGTACATAATGGGCGACTAATTAGGAAGTTTATACAAATCGGGTTATAGCAGCACACCAAAAGTTGGCTTGAGATATGGACCCGGTAGCAGCAGTACAACATGTACTAGTTAGATAAGAAGTTACTGAACATGCAGGTGAATACATGTATAAGACATGGACCACTCTGTTAGATTTACCTTATAAATAGACTAGCTTTAGAAGGTTAGTAAGTCCTAAGATGGATGCGAAATCTATAGGTGTTATAAAAGCTACTACCGAATAGTGAGTTACATTTTGGTTAAGTGTAAGTAACCTACAGTATCAACCAGAGGGTTTAAATAGGTACCCCCTAGTTGGGGTGCAGGTATGGCAGATAGTGTAAAATCTTTGGGCGGTCTATTTAAATTAGGTACTCAAAAGGTGCACATATGGCTTGATATATCCTTGTTGTAATTGTATAACATTATTTCCATTTAATAAAAGTCTCTAACCATAGAGGTCATCTTAATACAAAAAAAAAAAATAAACTATTTATTTGTTTTTGTTTAATACAAACTTGTAACAAATTTTGTATTTTTACAATTGCAATAAAAAATATTAGCATTATTTATATTATTTAAATCAATAATTGTATGTTTATAATATGTATATGTATTAACATAAAATGGAACCTCTATATACATTTTCTGTTTGCAAAATCAGGTGACTAATATATAGGTGCTAATAGCTTAATTGAGGATATATTATGTTGCTATTTAGTTTCAGGCACCAAACTGCTCTACAGTGCATTTTCAATCAGATAGGGTAACTTTAAAGGTTTAATTAATAAAAAGATAATACTATTATTTGCAAAGTTAATAGATAAAAAAGCTATTTATTACAGTATAAAAGATTCAAGAGAAATTTGTTATAATTTTAATCTTCTTTTTCGAAGTAGCACAGATGGCTTTTCATTCTGTATATTTGCAATAAATGTGATAATAAAGGAGCAATAATTGTTATCATTAAGGAAAAACTCTTACCTAGGTACTGATAACTTTAATTCGGATTGGTTTGATATGGTTATAACGATCCAGTTCCAAACATTAATTTGTAATAAAAATTAGCTTAGTTAGTCAAGAGAGTTTATAAAAAAAAAGATGGTTAGTAACTATCTTTTTTCTTTATAGAACTGCGCTGATTGGCCAAAATTTATTATAAAGTCAAGCACTTTATGATTAAATTATTTTTTTTTACAATCAACATATTATTTTATAAATAAATGTATAAATCGCACCTCGCGATGCACTTAGATATTGTCTGACCAATAAAATATATATCGTGTGATCACAATAATAACATTTATTTTTTTTTATTATATATACATACGTATGCACTAGTTTCTTTAATTTTGCATTCTCTATTAGTGGGTGCTAATGCTGGAGTTAATTTATTGTATGGATCTATTATCATATTATACAGATTAATCAATATACATATATAGATAAGTTTTTTTTAAAATTTTTTTTTTTGAAGTACTATACAAAGTTACCTTTTTGCTAACTGGTGTTTTTCTTTTTCTAGCTTCATTGTTTGTTGATGTTGTCTCTTGTTGGTATCATCACATATTGGTGCATGTTGGTGTTGTTATCTGTTTGTGCTTTTGCTTATAGTATCATCATTGAGATGCCTTCATTTCCGGTGTTGCTATTTGTGGGTTTTCAGATTTATTGGTGCCTTCACTTATTGGTTACTTACATTCTTGCTTTTGTTGCTTTGCATTTGCTAATGCCCTCTCCCATTTCATGCAAGTACAGGTGTTATTTTGGCAATGTTGTTAAAGTTTTAGCTATATTGTTTTTGAATTTGTTACCTTTGTGCTTTCGCTGTATATCAGATTACATGGATCAATCAACATATATATAAAAATAACAATAAGTTTTTTTTAATTTTTTTTTTTTTTATATACAAGGTTGCCTTTTCGCTAACTAGTGTTTTCTTTTTTCAGCTTCATCATTTGTTGGTGTCATTGCTTGTTAGTATCGTTTCATATTGGTGTATATCGTTATGTGTTGTTGTTGTTATCTGTTTGTGCTTTTGCTTATAGTATCATCAGTTTTGCCATTTGTAAGTTTTCAGTTTTATTGGTACCTTTGCCTATTAGTTACTTACATTTTTGCTTTTGTTGCTTTGCATTTGCTAATGCCTACTTCTATTTTATACAAGTACAGGTATTATTTTGGTGGTGTTGTTATTACTTGTTGAAGTTTTGGCTACACTGTTTTTGGATTTGTTACCTTTGCACTTTCGTTGTAGTGTTGTCATTTAGGTTCTTCATTTTCAGCGTTGCTGTTTGTAGGTTCTTGTCTTTATTGGTGCTATCACTTGTTGGTTATTTTACATTCACTAATTCTTCTATTTTATGCAGATACTAGTACTATTATTTTGAAACAGTAGGTTGTAGCAATAGTGTGTTTTTTTTGGATAGGTTCAGGTAAGATCTTTATATCGTAAAGCATGATTAGCAGTAAGGTTTGCTATAATTAGATAAATTTGACAGATTACTAATATTTCAGGAACATTTGTTGCACAATTCTGTTCCAGAGATATTCGTTTCATAACGAACTTAAAATTTGTGTATTATTATTATTTTGTATAAGCAAGTGAAAAAAAAAATAAATAAAATAAAGAGCCAGAAATTGTCATATAGCTATTTTTACAAATTCAGGACATTTAAAAAAATGACCAATAATTATTTAGCTGAATTCTATAAGTTATTGATTACATAGTGCTATAATATATGTTATGCAATATCAAAATCAATAACTTATCGAATTCAATCAAATAATTATTGGTTAATTTTTTCAGATACCCTAGAATTTATGAAAACAGCTATAATTAAGTAAAAATTTCAATAGGATTTGTACTCTGGTGTGTCATTGGCTAAGTTATTAAATAAAACTGGTAAAACAGATGAGAAATTTTTTGATGGAAATACTGTGATTATTAAAATTAAGTAATACGTATACGTAATAACTTATAAATAATTAACTGTTAATAAATTTTATACGGCTTCATAATCTGTTTCATAAGCAATTTACAGCTAAGAAAAGCAATTGACCAATTAAATATATAACTATTATGCGATTTTATAAATAGTTTCATAATAACCAATTAAATACAATTTTAAAATTTAATTTTACCGGAATGCCACCAAAATCAAAAAATCCACCCATATAAAATGCAATATGTTTATCTTATAGTGTTTATACACAACTGCATATTATATATTAAATTGAGATAGGTTTTGCTTCAGGCCACTTTGCTGTATAATTAGTGGCAACTACTATATAGTGGTTTCCTTGAGCGGTTAATAGTAAGGGACCTACTATATCTATACCAATTCTCTAAAATGGTTGGCCTACTGGGAGATCCGATAGTTCTTTTCCATCCTCATTGTTGATAACTATCACACAACTTAACGTAAGTATGAATATATTCGTATATTTGAAACCAATAATAAATTTCTTTGACCTTCTCAAATATTCTGTTTATACCAAAATAACCGCCAGTTAGGTGGTTGTGCATTAGGTACAATATAGATTCTACTTCTGCTTCTTTAATAACTTTTAACAGTCTTTCTTGGAACTAATTTTTTCTATTTTTCTTGTATAAGAGCCCATTCCAACATTTAAAGAAATGGCTCATCCCCTTCTGTTTTTTTAAGTCTAGACCTTGAGATACGCTACTAGTTTCCAAGTATTGTTTCAATAGTCCATATTCATCACTATTCATCTTGATTTGCTTGGTTGCCAAAACACCAGTCTTTCTATATAAGTATCAGTTTACTTTTGTAGTCTTAACTTTCAGAAATTTATTTTCTATTAATTTTCCTTATATTTCTTCTGTTCAATGTTGCTGGTTATTTTAAATTAATTTTTAGTTCTATTAAATTTCTAATTTCTTATTCTAGCTTTTTTTGGTTTTAGTTTCCTTTTTACGTTAAATATTTATTTTGTTCTCTTCTATTCCTAGTCTTCCTTTCTTATTTAACATTGTTACTAGCTTCTTATTCAATATGCCCCTTCTTCACATATTGGTGTCGTGACCAGCCTTTAGATTGTTATGTCTACAATGCTACTTAATTTCAATATTCTTTTTTATATATATATATATATATATATATATCTAACTGTCATTATTGTTCATTATTATCTATTCTTCTTTTATATACTAATCTATGGTACTAGCAATTAAATTTTCAATTATTTTGGCATTTAAGCCGCTGTGTTGGATTTCATTAATATTCCATCCTGCTTTTTCAGCACCCTTTGCAATCCATTGTTGTAGAGTAATTAGATCTACGGGGCTATTTGTGACTAATGGAAATATTAGGAACTCCAGGTAATATATGGCTCTCCAAAGGTCGAGCCATCTAGTAGCATAATGTGTATCCAAAGTTAGGTGCACATATAAAAAATATTCATGTCTACCATCCATGCATAACTCAACAAATAATAGTCTCCTGCAGCATCTTGAAAGACTGTTACAGGAATAAAGTTGGACTCATTATTACTTGGTGGGTCCTCATCACTACTAGACGATGATTCTTCTTCGTTAACGCTATTTTGAGGCATAGCTACTTCAGGAATGGGTGACATACTTGGTTGGTAGGTAGTATTTACCATGTATACTTGGGTTTCTTCTTCTTGTTCTTCTGTCTTCATATTAGCAATTAAATTAATAACTTCATGAAGCTCTAAATTAATTCGCTGCCTAGTCCCCATATTCACATCTAGCTATTTATAAATTCTTTTTCAGAGGACTGCTTCCAGTAGCTATTCCCAAAGAAGGACTAGTTGTTTAAGTTTATTGGTAATCAAATTGTAATTAAACAGATGATGGAGATAAACAGGTTTGGTAAGATCTAACTTGGTCATGGCATAATGACTATCTAACTTTTTGTATCTATACACATAATAGGTATTACTGTAATAAACACACCTTCCTACATATTTGAGCTTCTTGATATGGAGCATGCTTATTCTAGATAACTCCATTTTTCCCTTATTTTTGAAGGCAAGTTGTTGTATTACTCTTTTTTCTTTATTTATTTCAATCTTTGTTTCTTTTTGGTCAATCTCTAATGCTTTCACTTCTTCTTTATGGAGTCTTGACAACGCATTAGCATTGTTATGTTTTTTACCGGCCCTGTAAATAATAGTAAAAATATATAGCTCTAGGCAAAGTATACACCTAGTATACCTACCCTTTAGCTCCAAAGTCCTAAGCCATTTAAGAGCTAAATGGTCAGTGACTAAATAAAAATATGTAGTGCCTAAGTACTGGTAAAAGTGTTCTATAGCCCATACCATGGCTAGGCACTCCAATTCAATTACATAATAGTTCTTTTTAGCTCCTGTAAAGCTTCTACTCGCTTGTTGTTAGTTACTTGAGCTAGCATAGCACCTAGCCCAGTTTCTGAAGTATTGGTATATAGGTGGAAGGGTCTTGAGAAGTCGGGGTAATGGAGGACTGGAGCAGTAATTAATTTTTGTTTTAATGTTTTAAAAGACTCTTGTTGGCCCTTATTTTATTTATAAGCTCTATTTTTCTTCAATAGGTCATATAAAGGCTGGGCTAGTTTAGAGAAGTTCTTTATAAATCTATAATAATAAGAGACTAGGCCTAAGAACCCTCTTAGTTGCCGTAAGTTGGTGGGTATGGGTAGTCTTTAACCTTTAAAATCTTATCTTTATTAGGTAGAATACCAGTCCTATTTATTATATGTTCTAGAAATTTGATTTCTGGGAGTAAAAACTTGCATTTATCTTTATTTAATTTTAGTTTTGCTTCTTTCAGAGGGTGAAGATGGCCTTTAGATGCTATACATGGTCCTCAAATATCTTATAGTAGATGGTTATATCGTCAAGATAAACCACTACAAACTTTCTTTATAACTACTTAGGACTTCATCCATGAGTCTCTGAAAAGTCATGGGAGTATTACATAAACCAAATGGCATCATGTTGAATTCATAGGTGCCAAATTTGATTATAAATACCAGTTTTTTTTTATCCTCTTCCCACATGGCTATTTGAAAGTAGCTACTAGCCAAGTCCTAGGCTAAAAACCTACTAGGCGCCTTGGAAGGACTCTAAGACCTCTTCGATTAAGGGCAAAGGATAAGTTTCCTTTTCTGTAACACTGTTCAGTTTCCTATAATCGATGCATAACTGCTTTTTACCATTCTTCTTAGGTACTATTACAACAGGCGAGGACTACAAGCTACCCTTGCATTTTCTTACTATGCCTTTTTCCTAATTTCCTTAATTGGTGATCCACTAGTCAACCAGAGAATGATCATAGTAAAATGTGACTCAAATTACTTATAAAAATTAGAGGTCTTCAAATGTGGCATGCGTGTATCTAAAACTTTTTTTATACTAAGTTAATCACTTTTCTAACTTAAGAGACTTTTGTAGAGCTTGTCAAGACGCATCTAATGGTGGTTAGAGCGTCAAAATCGGCTTGGTGGGTGCCGAGATATCTTTAAAAAATATTTTTTTTACTATGTAAACTTTTTTGCAAACAATAGTATTGTTTGCAAATAAGTTTATATAGTAAAAGAAACGGTTTTTAAAGATATCTTGGCACTCACCAAGCTGATTTTGACGCTCTAACCACCATTAGATGCGTCTTGACAAGCTCTACAAAAGTTTCTTAAGTTAGAAAAATGATTAACTTAGTATAAAAAAAAGTTTTAGATACACGCACGCCACATTTGAAGATCTCCAATTTTTATAAGTAATTTGAGTCACATTTTACTATGATCATTCTCTGGTTGACTGGTGGATCACCAATTAAGCAAAAAAAACTCTTGTTCGTCCTTGGAGGTACGGTAATAGGTTTGCTTGATTAGTTTGGCTATACCAGTATGAATCTCATATTGGATTAGGTTGGTATAGCCTAGCCCTAAGGTTTGACCTTCCTCGGCTATATCTTCTGCAAATATGTCCTTATTATTGTCTAATAAAGTTTCTATAACTACTTTTTCTTTTTATTTAATTGTCTTAAGCTATTTTCTACCTATAGAATCTATCTCAGTTAAGTAAATAGCAGAGTTGTCATCCCTAATTACTATTTATTTTTCCTCTTCATCTAACTCTATTTTTTCCAAATAATAGGTCTTGTATTTGTCTAACTCTTCTTTCTCAAGTTCAAGTTTATCTAACAGGTTGTTTAGGTCTTCCACTTCCTTACTATTACTGACTAACAAAGATTGGCTATCTAAATGCGTAATAAGTATAATCGTTTCTTGTTCTTTGTATTTTATCCTTAGAGTTCTAGTATTAAAGTCCCACTAGGCTCGCACCTTTTCAAACCAATTGGTACCAAGAAGGAGAGTCTCTTCTGGGCAGTGTTGGCCTATAACATATATGACCAATATGATCTATATGACTAGTCATAGATCATTTAGTTATTTTGCAAGTATATATGATCTATGATATTATATGACTATATGACATATATGATTGGTCATAGATTATGCAAATATATATGATCTATGATTTTATATAGATAACTAATAAAATTCTTTATAATCATAATACCGTAATGCTAAAAGACTAGTTTTTTTTTTTGGCTGTTATTTATAGTTTATTTATATTAATAATTCTGTATATATACACAGAGTTATATATAACTATTTAAATGTTGCATATTTGGCACCAAGCTTTTGATGTATCATATCAGTTACAATTAGCATATTTTCCATTTCAATCCTTTCTAATTCATTATTAAATACTAACATAGTTATATTGTTTTGAGTTAGTCCATATACATTTAGATTCTTTGAATGTATATAATCTGTAAACTTATTAAATATTTATAAATATATAAATATATAAATATGAATTAATATAAAGCAGCATACAGTAGTAATTCTTTTAACATTTCTAATAAGTTTTGTAATCTAGCTAATGTTTTAAGTTCTACTTTATATACTAGTATATATGACTGTGTATATCTATATCTGTCATCAACTTTACTATTATACTTTGCATAGCGTATTCCATCTAACCATATTGCTAAATATTGTCTAATATTTCAAAAGGAATCCATTCAATTACATCTTGTATTTTGTTGTTTTAAGTTTTTTTTTTTTTTTTTTATTAATATAATGTCATAGTAGAAACTTTATTACAATAAACCTATATTAATCTAGAGATTAATGGTTCTCCTATTACTAAGAAAACTTGGATAAGGGGGCAGATAAGTCACCTGACCAGGCTGCCTGTTGTTTTAAGTTAAAATTCTTTGATACAATTATCTACACCCTTATTTCCACTTGTCTATCCTTGTGTTGTCTTCTGAGGATCACATGTCTTATACCAAACTGCAAATATGTTATATCAGTTGCAATTTGTGCATTCTCTATTCCAAGAAACTAAATTCATCATCTATAGTTTTATGATGTAGAAGAATTAACAGTAACAAAAATAGAGTAAGAGTGAAATATACTCTCAAATTTGTAAAATTTATTAGATGCTATTTTTTATATACTATATAACTTGTATAGGATACACAGTATTTGTATTAGGGTCTATATACGTACTATGCATATTATCAGTTATATAATACGTATGTATATATATATTTTGAAATAAGTACAGTCAAATTAAAAACTAGATACAAGTATAGTTGTTAGACGAAACCTTTTTCGCATGATGACAAAAGACGAAACCTCTAACGAAAATCGAAACCCCAAATTCTTCTGACGAAAGACCAACCCTTAAAATTAAAATGTTGAAACTTACGCTCAAAAAAGACAAGACTCTAGTGCTCTCTCTAAAAAAAAAAAAAGAATACAAATAGTAAATGTTATTTTCATTGAATTAACATTCATAATTTATACAGAGCTCAGTATCTGAAGTTATATATATGCTAGCAAAAAATAAACAACACCAATGTTGTTATAGACCGGTTGAAATAATCTTGTCAAAAAGCCATAGTACTTTCTCATGGAATAATACAAATAATGAATTAAAAACATACTGGCACAAAATAAATTTGTAAGATCATAAAAAATAAGCACTATGCGACTTCTTACTAGAACTGATACATAGTGTACTAGTATAATAAATTATAGAATACAGGCTTTAAACAATTCAAATACCTATTATACAATAAAATTTTTGTAATTTTTTATTAGTTTATTTTTTATGCACAATCAATGATTTTCAGCAACATTTA